TATGATAAAAATTACAGTCATCTACAAGCTTTGCAAGTGGGAAAACCTGAAAAATCAACAGTGTATCAAATACTTGTTCTCCCCACTGTATGTAAAAAAAATTTGACTTACATGGACAACAAGTTGCAGTTTTTTGCATAATTTACATGCCCTGCGACTTATAGGCTGAAGCGACGTATTCGTCCCCCCCCCCCCCCCCCATATTTATAAACCAAATTTTGGCTGAGAAATGACCGATTTCATTCATTCTGACTGAAAATATTGAACACTAACATTTTCAGGGGCTAGATGGCAGCAGAGTAGTAAGGCATGCCGTTGTGTCATGTAATAGTGTGTCAGTGTGACCTCAGCAGAAGTAAGGAGTACTTTCAGGAGGATTATTAATCCTCACAAAGCAACCAGCCCAGACAACATCCCCAAGAATGTGTTGAAAGACTGTGCGGATCAGCTCTGCGAGGTGCTGGCCGTCATATTTAACACCTCACTCACCCTGGCAACAGTTCCCACCTGCTTGAAGATCACCACCATCATCCCAGTCCCAAAGAGCTCTACAGTGACTGGTCTGAATAACTATCGGCCAGTAGCCCTCACCCCGATAGTCGCTAAATGCTTCGAAAAACTGGTCATGACCCACATCAAAACAACCATCAACATCAATGAGGACTTTCACCAGTACGCATACCACGAGAACTGATCAAAAGACGACGCCATCTCCTTTGTGGTCCACACTGAGCTCACCCACCTGGAGCAGAAGGATTCATATGTCTGTATGCTCTTTGTGGATTTCACATCCGCCTTCAACACCATGATCCCCCAAACCCTGATGGACAAACTACTCCACTAGGACTAAGCCCCTCCATTTGCAACTGGGTACTAGACTTCTTAACAGACAGACCTCAGTCTGTGAGGATCCACAACTTCTCCTCCTCCACCATAACACTCAGCACTGGCTCTCCTCAGGGCTGTGTGTTGAGCCCTCTCCTGTTCACTCTGCTCACGTATGATTGTGCAGCTACCCATCCAGACTGTCGCACTGTAAAGTTTTCAGATGATACAGCGGAGGTGGGATGCATCACAAACAATGATGAGTTCAGCTACAGGCAAGAGGTGGAACACCTGGAGAGCTGGTGCAGGAAGAACAACCTTCACATAAATGTGAAGAAGATAAAGGAGATGATCGTGGACTTCAGAAGGAATAAACACACCTACATCCCCCTGAACATAAGAGGATCTTTGGTGGAAGTGGTCTCCAGCTACAAGTACTTGGGTGTACACCTGGATGACAACCTCAGCTGGGCCAACAACACTACCAGCCTGATCAAGAAAGCTCATCAGAGACTCTACTTCCTCAGGCAGCTGAGACGAGCTGGACTGGGAAGCTCAGTCCTCACCTCCTTCTACAGGTGTGCAGTGGAGAGCATCCTGTGCTCCAGCATCAATGTGTGGCATGGAGGCTGCACAGCTGCAGAAAGAAAAGCTTTGAGGAAAGTGGTGAAGGCTGCACAGAAGTCTGTTGGAGTCAGTCTCCCCACCATCACTGACATTTACACCTCTAGATGCAGGAAGAGGACCAACTGCATCATGAAGGACCCCACTCACCCAGCACACACACTTTTTGCCCAACTCCCCTCAGAAAGGAGGTTGTGGAGCATTAAGTGTAGAACCACTAAACTGAGGAACAGCTTCTACCCTGAGACTGTTAGACTCATGAATATCTAACCAGGACAATCACTGTGAAAAATCACATCATATTGCTGCTGATCTGTTTCATGTTGCTGCTGATCTGTTTAATGTTGATGTGTTCATTCGTACTCATCTGCTCACACAGACTCATGTTCGTGCTGCTGTTCAGCGTAATGTTTTTATTGTTTTTATGCTATTAGTGCTTAGTGTATTATTTAGCTGATGTTTTTCTTAGTTCATATCTTAGATCTTATTACGGTTGTTCTTTTACATTTTATTGTTGGATGTAACTGGGACCATGAGTACATAAACTCATTCCACCACATGTACCACATGTGGTGCAAATGACAAATAAATCTCTCTGACTCTGAATTTAATAGGTAAACGTGGCTATAATGACAAATTCAAAAAAGTTCAAGACAAAAACAACTGGACCTTATTTATTATACTTTATACTTTATTATTATTGTCTTGAACTTTTTTGAATTTACCATGTCCTGGATGACTGAGAATCTTCACCAGCTATTAATGACACAATTGGCCTGCCACAGCCTGCCACCTTCGTTCTGCTCGCTGCTTGGAGCAACTGTCAAATTAGCTTCATTTTGCTGCACCACCCCAGCGAAAAATAAGTTGATTTAACTATTGAAGTACATTTATTAAGTGAAAGTTCAACTGAGACACACCTTTGCTCTAATTTTGAGCAAACAAATAATTGTTTTTAGGTGGTCATCTTGTTAAATTTTAAAGAAGCTGGTCTCGCTGCGCATTCCCGCTTCGCAGCACCTCAGCCAGCAGCGAAATTATTTTTGAAATTCAGCTGATTTGACCATTAAAGGACATTTATTAAGCAAACGTTAGACTGAGACACACATTACTATAATTTTGAGCAAACAAATTATTGTTTTTAAGTGTTAATCTTGTTAAATTCTTGTTAAAGTCCTCCCATGCACGCCCTAGCAGCCGCCATTTGGCAGCCAATCGATTTTTGGCCCACATTTCCTGGTTGTCAGCGTTGTCGCGTAGCAGATAAGATTTATACGGCGGTGCGACATGCACGGCGGAAAATACGGTAAACATCATAAACGTTGCACACAGGACAAATATTGCAGACTTCTGTATATTTTAAAAGAAAAATGTATTTTTGTATATTTTGATGGTTCTGTAAAATGCATTATAAAGCTGTCCAAATGAAATGTTCTGTTGAGGCAGGTGACTGAATGAAGTGAAGGAGGATTGTACAGGTAGCTGCCTACCTGGGATGATCTGTCTGATGTTCTTAACCAGGTTGAGGTAGGCCTCCCTGCTGTAACTGAACACAAGGAAAACAATGTTGGAAGAAAAGTTTCTCTTTTGATGAATGACTTCGATCATGTGACTGGCACAGATCATGTGACTGGCACAGATCGTTGTGACTCTTACCCACGGCGCATGGCTTTTAGTACCTGGCTGCTTCCACTTTGGACTGGGAGGTGGATGTACTTACAAATGTTCCTCCGCTCTGCAATCAGATGCAAAACCTGGAAACAGTAAAACACCAACTAGGTCAGGGAAGTGTAACGGTAGCAATTGACGTCATTATCAGCAGAGGCAGGGGTGGTCAATGTCTTGTTTTCAGACAAACCAATTGAACCTGATAACTCGAATCCAGTAACCCACAGCACTCATTTAAATAACATGCAGCCTTCACTGCACCTCGTCAGGGAAATCCTTGGGATGAGGAGAAGTGAAGCGGATTCTCATGTCAAGGTCCACGCAGGACACTCGGTCCAGCAGGTCAGAGAAGCGCAGACCCCCCCGTTTGCTCTGGTAGATGGTGTTGAAGCCACGGCTCAGTCTGGTCTGCTCCGAGCCGCAGAACTGTTCTTCTGACATGTCCCTGTAGCTGTTCACATTCTGACCCAGCAGAGTCACCTCCTTTACTCCCTGACACACACACACACACACACACACACACACACACACACACACACACA